TCGTCACTCTCTCTGGCTCTGTAAGAGCCGCATGGAGACACATCTTGGATGCACAGGAAAACAAGGCAGTGAAGGGAGTTGGGGAGACTGACTCCACTAGGAAAACAAGCTCAACAGACCCGCTGAACTGAGGGCTGTGCGTGCTCGTGTATGCGTGTTTGCGTGCACATAGCCGTGCTACACGCGTGCGTGCACAGGCGTGTGCAAGCGTACAAGATCCTACATCCCTGTGTACGACCAAGCCAAGAGACCAGCTTCTGCCCTAGAAGAGGCAGGCAGAGCACTGGAAAAAAAAAAAAAAAAGTCCTCTTGCTTTAATTGTGCTGCTTTGATAACAATGATAATTGGCTAGAAATCGATACTGTTTTGCTCCTGCTTCTCCCACCCCGTCTCCCCCAGTCTTCTCCCTGGACGCCTTACTCCCTTAAGTGGAGTGACATTTAAACGCTCCGTGATAGTCATTAGATAACCCAGGCAGAGAATTGCTTAGGAGGGGGCTGATGTAGACAGACAAGGGCCAGAGATGGGGGCGGTTTCCCTCTCCCCTCCTGTCTCGCTGCGGCAGCTCGAGGGCAGAGTGAAGATGATGCTCCGTGATGCTGCAGAGTGACAGTGATGAGAACAGGGGACAGCAGAGCAGGGAAGAGACACATGGAGGCTGCGCTGCTCCTTCCGGCTTTGGCTCCAAAAATTGTGCCAAAACATCCCTGAAAAACCTGTATTAATAGCTGTGGTGCTCGGCATGAGCCGCTCTCCATGCCCAACCACAGCCCCTGCTTGGTGCCCAGTGAGGTGTCCCCCACCTGCTACCCCTGCTCCCAGCACCGGGAATAATCCACATTCCCTGTGAGCGCCCGGGCTGGACCGTGCTGCCAGCAGGGCCGTGGCGGCGCTGAGCGGTGCTGAGGATGGCGGGTGGGGAGGAGGAGGCGGGATGGCGAGGGTGGATACTTCTCCTCTGGGGAGGATGGTGACGTCCAGACATGCTGCACTCCTACGGGAGCTGGTTCATCGGGGCTTGGGGCTGCTCGTGAGGAGGGTGCCCTGTTTGCCAGCGACGGGCACGATGGAGACGCCGGCCAAGTCATGGAGGCAGCGGCCGCCTCGCGGCCTGGCTACGTTTGCAGAGCAGCCCATGAGCTCCAGCTGCCCAAGCGGGGCTGGAGCCCTCAAAGAAAGGGACTTGGGGACGAAGCGCAGCGTGGAGGGTGCCCAGGGGCTGCCTGGGGGCAGGTGTTCCCTCGTCCCCGGGTGCGGAGGCCGCAGGCCCTGCTTGCTCCGCACGAGCCGGGCGGCCTCCGCGGCCGAGCGGGGCCTCCGGGGCTCCCGTGCCCCAGAGGGGCCCTCTCCACCGCACAGAGCGGGCGCCCGGGTGGCAGCAGCGCTGCTCGGGTGGCCCCTTTCACTGGGGACCTGGTGCCACCTGGTGGCCACCGCACCGGGACGTGGCCTCCGTCAGTCGCCTTCCCTGCGCTGTGGCTGCAAGTGGCTCGTTGGGAGCGTAATGGGGGCTTCTCACGGGGCTGCTTGTCCCCAAACCTGGGGTGCTGCCCTCACGGCTCTGTCCCGACAACGCGTCCCTCTCGCTGGCCCTGCTGCTCGGTAGCAAACGGGTTTTGCCTGCGGCTGCCTCCAGCTGCAGTGAGATCTGCCCTGGGCACCTGCAAAAACAACCGGGAAAGTCGCTAGTACAGCAGGAACCTCACGGAGGAGGCTTGGGCCTGCAGGTAGGCACAGGCCCACGGATGCATCAGGCTCCTTACGAGTTGTGTCATCCCCGGCAACATCTGAGAAGGGATTTTTTGAGGGGGGAAAAAAATAAGAAAATATTGGCGAGGGTTCAGAGGAGATCCTCAGAAATGATTTGCAGTCTGGAAAACCTGCCTTCCAGCCCAAGACTTCAGGAGCTCGGCGCTATTTAGCTCATCAAAGGGAGCTTACGGAGCGGCTCGGATGCAGGCTCCGGCGGGAGCAGCGCTCCCAGCCCACGGCGCTTTCATCTCGCCCGCGCAGGCACGGCGAGACCTGGCGAGCTCGGAGCAGCCCTGCAGAGCCGCTCCGGGGCTGCTTTCCCTTCGGATACCCAACCTCGTTTGGAGGGAGTTTCTGCCCCTTGGACTTCCGTGTGTGATGGAAATATGTGTCTATGATGGACATATGTGTCAATGAGGGACATATGTGTCTATGAGGGACATACGTGTCTTGCACCATGGACAGCGATGGCACTGGGGTCCCAGCCCCTTCCCCTATAACTAGCTGGGCACTGGGAACGTCCAGTGCCTCCCTTATAGCTGTTGGGAAGGTGCACTGCTGCCCTATAGCCACTGGACCCCCTTCCCTATACCCTATAGCTAATGTCCAGCTGTGCCTTAGCCCCTATATGTGAGGAGGTGCCTCCGTCCCCGCACCGGCTGTGCCCTGGTCCCTGTAGCTGTGGGGGTCCCAGGCCCCTCTCCTGTAGCCAGAGCCTGGCTGTGTCCCAGCCTGCTCCCCTATAGGTGCAGCCCCTATATAGGTGCAGCCGCTATAACCTGAGGGGGGCCGCAGCCCCTTCCCTGCAGCCGGGGCAGGACAATATCTCAGGTGTCTATTGCAGGGGTGGGGGGGCTCCAGCCCCCTCTCCTGTAACAGGAGGGCAGCCCTATAGCCAGGGGGTTCAGCTCCCCTGCCCTATAGTGGAGGGGAGGGTGTTTCTGCCTCTATAGCTGGGGGGTGCCCACCCTATAGCCGAGGGGACACAAAGCGGGGGGCA